GGATGGTGTGCATGAGTTTCGATGGTCTAGGTGAATGCCTTGTCGACTTTTGGAAAAGAAATAAAGAAACAGAATGAGTAGAATAAAAATATAATAAAGGAAGGAGGGCAGCCAATTTGTGCCATTTACTCTCTGTTGTACTCCCTACTATACATTTGTTAGTTTGTTTTTGTTTTATGTAATTTATAAAAATGCTGTGTGCACTGTTTATATCTATGTCTGTAGGTATTTGTATAACTGTGAAGCCTCACTATGGCGATATGGTACTCAAAAGAATGAGACATTTATATATGAAGGTCTTTGCCTTTGTACATTTTGGCAGTGTGATTCTTTCTGAGAAGCAGAAATAAGCATTTTTACAAGCATTATTTTTTGAATTGTCTGGTTAGATTGATCAGGCCATGCTCTCTCTTTGTTTGTCAAGTTGGCTGCTCAGCGTTTCTTGCTTGTGCTTATACTTTCCTCTTGAGTTCCACCTATTCCTGTGATGGTAGACTAAGTAGTTATTTAGATCTTTTTCTAATGATTGAACTTGAATTTTCAATTTGAGCAAATTTGGCGCTGTTATGTTTTAGTCTATTAGCTAATATCTTAATATCAAAAATAATATACAATTATTGAGGATATTAAAATTAATGAAGCTTCAAATTATTGGAGCACATACTGTGTAGAACTTAAGAAGTTCCTTTTTTTATTGTTTTTTTCCTTTTTAACAACAGCAGTGCAATCCTATTACAATAGGTTATAAGAGAGAGACAGTGACTAAATTTACATAGCCTGATATGGCCATAAAGGTTTGATTCCCATGGATCATTCGGAACAGAATGATATATATTCAATTACAAATTAACTGGGAATAGAATTAGCTTGATTTTATTGCGTTACGATTCTACATGCATAGACATTTCCAATTTTTGAATCCATAAGTTTTCATATTTTAGTATTATCTGCCAGTATTTTTAAGTATGCTGTATTTTCTTTAATTGGGACTTGCCACTTGGTAAAATAATTAGGTTTTCTGAACACAGTTGAACATGTCATTTCCTTTGAAATGCTAGGACTATTCTTTTGGAGATATTGTTTCTTTTTGCTTAAGATATCTGAACCTTTTGCATAGGCAGCTTGCTCCTTCCAGTATTTCTGCCTAGTTGGCCCTCTTAGGGGTAATAGAAGTATGCCCACGCCACCCCCCTCCCCCCCAAAATTTTTTTTTTCCCATTTTTCTGTTCTTTTTGGCAGACTGGGAAACATTCTGGTACAATTTCACTGTTGCATTATGTGTTTTGGCAATCATGTTAATTATTGTGGTGAAAGGATATGCTGCAAGGAAATTGAGATAAAACCGCCCTGGCACTGTAGCGATCTTGTCTGCCATGGACAGCTGAGATAAGATAGAAGAGGCATGTACGGTTCTAACACCAATTCAGTAAGCTCTAGGCGCACAAAAATAATTACATATTTATGGGATGTAATTATTTAACAGTTCAACTATAATAGCTTTCACAAGCAACTGTAAAGTCTCTAAAAAATTGAAGCACTCTGCTATTTTCTTTATTTGGTGAACAGTTGTCAAACAACTCATCGGACATTTGCAATCATTTTGATTAACACGGATAATTCTGTTTTATTACATGCTTAACATTAGAGTTTCATATGTAATTGATGCTTTGTTGCTTACATGGTTTGTTTTGTGATATTTCTTGTCAGCTCAACGCCTCTCAAATACGAAGACCCATTTAACAACCCTATGGTAAAGGTCAGCAAGATCAATTCAACTGTTGAGATGTGGGGAAAATTATACCGTTTAGCTCCAGTGACTCTCCCGAAGGAACAGCAATCAATCCATCAGAAACGGAGATCACATGCATATCAGTGGAAGAGACCAACAATGTTTCTTAAAGGAGATTCTGTTCCTCCTGGTGTAGATCCTGACACTGTTAGATGGATTCCTTCAAATCATCCCTTTGCAACTACTTCAAGCAATGTTGATGAAGATTTGGCTCAAAACAATGTGTACCAGAAGCATGGTGTTCCATTTTGTATTCAGGCAGAGCACGAGGCGCTGCAGTGAAAGCTTGACTTCTTTGAATTATGCTATTAGTAAATTCTTTAAATTTAGAAGTCCTTATTAGATTTATCCAATTCTGTTTCCTTTTCTTTGTTTGGCAAGTATTGAATTGGTATCTTTTTGCAAATATTTGAACATGAAACAAGCTGTAAATTCACATATAGAAAATAAAAAATGTGAAAACAGAATAAAAATTTAGGAGTTAGGGTGTCATAATATGCAAACCAAGTGAACAAATTTCGTTCTTAATGCAAAATATACTCAAGAACCTCTAAATCGAAGAGCACCAAAGGATCAAAACCCTCTATAGTCAGAGAAGCACAATGGACAGATTCAAGAAATTAGTATTTCCAACAACCAATATCAAATGGAAACTTTTGTCGAAACAAAATTGATGAGAATTTCAATGAATAAAAAATAATGATAAAATAAATAATAATAATGATGATGATGATGATGACGACGATGTAAAGTACATGCTAACAACAAGAAAAGATCCCACGGATAGATTGTTGGAAAAAATCGATTAACAAAGAGAAGATGAGAGTGGTAGAAAAATCGACTGAAGAGAGAAATGAAGAGCTTGGAGACAATCGGGGGGGACAGAAAATAGTGTGGGGTTTTCATCCTTAGGTCGTTCATACAAACACAAAACGACGCCGTTTTGTTCGAAAACTTGAACAGTGGTATGGAAATGACCTCTAGTTGCTCCAAGGTGAAAGAAAAAAAAAGAAAAAAGAAAAAATAGAGAAAGAGGCCATCCTGAGAGACTTTTTACCTGAGCTTTTTGTATCTAGTCACAGCATCTACGTATTTCGTCAGATGATGTATTATCAAGCTATTCGATTTGGAAACATGCTTCTGTTCAAAGGCTACCAAAAGAACAAACCTTAAAGTCTCAGTATCCTAAATACAATTTATATACACGAACTTTACTTGGAAGCAAAATATAATGCTACAAAATAAATGTATATATAGACCACCTCGTTTCTCATCTTCGTCCATTCACTTCTTCTCTTGCATTTTCAAATTCAAGAAATGGGTTTCTCTTCATTTTCTAAGCTGTCGTTTCTTGCATATTTCTTTCTGCTCGTCGCCTTTAGTACAACATTTGCCCAAGATTTCTCTATCGTGGGTTATTCACCGAAAGATTTAACGTGCATAGATAAACTCATTAATCTCTTTGAATCGTGGATTGAAAAACATGGCAAAGGGTACAAGAGCCTCGAAGAGAAGCTGCACAGGTTTGAGATTTTCAAGGACAATTTGATGCACATTGATGAGAGGAATAAGGTTGTTTCTAACTACTGGCTTGGTCTGAATGAATTTGCGGATATGAGCCATGAAGAGTTCAAGAAAATGTATTTGGGACTCAAGGCTGATCAATTGCCTAACAGAAATCAGACTCCCCAAGAATTTGAGTACAGATATTTTGTCGATTTGCCCAAGTCCGTTGATTGGAGGGAGAAAGGAGCCGTAACTCGAGTCAAGAACCAAGGCTCATGTGGTATGCATACTGATAAATCTTACACGTGTTGGTGTGTTGGAGTACTAAATACTCGACTGGGATAAGAAAGAAAAAGTTAAAGCTATTATTTATTATACTATCCAGTCCTGTTTGGGCACATTTACATATAGTTTGAATCTGACATGATATTGTCTGTCTAATTTCTAATATGGCGAGATTTTCGCATGTAACTATGCTATATACTGCAGGAAGTTGCTGGGCATTTTCGACGGTAGCTGCGGTGGAGGGCATAAACCAAATTGTTACAGGAAACTTAACCGAATTGTCTGAACAAGAGCTGATTGACTGTGACACGACTTATAACAATGGTTGCAGCGGAGGGCTAATGGATTATGCATTTGCTTTTATTGTTGCTAATGGTGGGCTTCACAAGGAAGACGACTATCCCTACCTAATGGAGGAAGGTACTTGTGAACAGAAAAGGGTAAGTGATAACTTTGTCGAAATATCAAACATGTAAATAGGAGATCTAGGTGTGCTGTCAATTTACGTTTGATACTGAATTTTCAATATGTAAACCGTTTCAGGGAGAATCAGAAATAGTAACAATCAATGGTTACCACGATGTACCTGCCAATGATGAACAAAGTCTCTTGAAAGCACTAGCAAACCAACCTTTGAGTGTGGCCATTGAGGCTTCCGGTAGAGATTTCCAATTCTACAGTGGGGTAATGCTCTTGTTTACCTTTCTTGTAAATTTTTATTTCAACGAGGCATTTACTTTTTGCCGTTTTTGCCTGAGACACTCAAATTTCTTAAGTTGAACTTGAATCGAGATAAGACTGCAACCTGCATAACTTATTTGAAAGTTAATACGGTTCTGATCTTTGTAGGGTGTGTTTGACGGGCACTGTGGAACTGAGCTTGATCATGGTGTAACAGCCGTTGGATATGGATCAACTAAGGGTTTGGATTACATCATTGTAAAGAACTCATGGGGTCCAACATAGGGAGAGAAAGGGTACATAAGGATGAAAAGAAACTCGGGGAAGCATGAAGGTCTCTGTGGCATCAATAAATTAGCCTCTTATCCTACCAAAACCAAGTGACCTAATTAAAACTTCCGCCGGTTTTTACGCCTTTCGTCATCACTTCATTTCATCTGCTATTATTTTTCTATCTGTTGTTTAAGAAATATTTCATCATTATGAAATAAGGAACAATATTTGTTGCTTGATGAAATTAAGGATCATTTATGTTTTGGCCAATGTGGTCTTAATATCAAATAGAATGAATTATAAACATGAATACTAAGCTTCAATACACAGATCCACCAAAAGGGCAAAATAATATATTTATAGCAGCATCTAAGCACATCAATCATCAATACGTTCAAGGATCAACTGTTCCAGATTTAGCTCTGCAAAGGGAATGAATCATCTAAAGAAAACCTGCTACACCAAATTAATGTTTAGCTCGAACACCTTAATGATAAGCGACATACAATATCATCTTTACAATATTGCAAATGTATATGACACATTTTTATTACTTTTTGTCATTATTCTGCTTTGAAATATCAAAAACTCACTCGTCACAAACTCATTTACAGAATTCTTCCATATCCTTACATCCAAGTATCTAATAAAACCTGACCAGTTGTCATTGTACACAGCAGAGAAGAGATTTGACAAAGAGCATGACAAAAATAAAAATAAAAATAAAAATACATGAAGTATTAAGAAGCAGATATAAATCATATATATGACTTCTGATATCTTCAGGTCCTGTCGCCACAACCTTACTTGATAGATCTCAACGTTGAGCTATTCAATCTTGAAAGAACTCGATTTGGTGAATCACTTGAGCTGTGATACTCTAAGCATCACTAACTTGATTGTTAGATGCTTGTCGACAGATGCACGGATTTGTAAAGCAACGCAAGAAGCATGTACCAGTGGTTTCATCTTCATTTTCATTCTCTTCAAGTGATCTTCCTTTGGTTTCACGAGTGAAGAAATATGTAACAATCATTCCCAGAATACAAATCCCACCTAAGATCACCAGAGAGGCTGTCATTCCAATTCCTTTAGTATAACCGTTCTTTGTCTTATTTTGAGAAGCCCATAAAAACCCGACTGAACCAATAATTGCACCGATTTTCCCTGCAGCTCCTGAAATCCCATGGCAAGTTGATCGGAATCGAGCAGGGAAAAGTTCAGCGGGAACAATGAAAGTGGTTGTGTTTGGTCCGAAATTTGAGAAGAAAAATGTTAAACCATATAAAAACAAGAATCCTATATTGGGATGTTTGTCCCAGTATATATCGTATGGTATTCCTATAGCAAACATGCCTATTGCCATGAAAAAGAACCCCATTATTTGGATTTTGACTCTCCCAACTCGATCAATAAAGTAAACAGTTGCATAATACCCTGGGATTGTGGAACAGATTGCTATAATTGCTTGGAGTTTTGCATACTGAAAGGCGTCTTCAAAGGCATTTACTTTGCCCTTTGGCCGAAGATAACTATCGTTTTCATATATTTTGGATTGGAAAAGGTTGCTGCTGTAGAAAACGACATCGACTAAGAACCAGTTGGCAGCGCAAGAGAAAAGGTCGCGTCCATGGCGGCGAAGGAATTCTTTGGAGAAAAGGGAATAAGATGGTGGACTTGGTTGACTCTCCTCTGCAATTTGACTCAATGAAACGTCTAACACTTTTTGCATGTCCTTGACTGCTTGTATTACATTTCTCTCTACCAAAGCTGTATACCTGTTAAATTTAACCATATTTAATTTAGATACAATTAAAAACACGAATATGAATACTAAAATTAATTGTGTATGATTAAGAAAGAGAAGTAAGAAACTTCGTTATTAATTTTGAGAAAAAAAAAAAAATTGGAATAAAGGACATATGACATTTCTGAAACCTTACCTGGCAGTCTCAGGCATCATCATCCGCCAGTAATAAGTCAACCCCGCCGGCACAGCACCGATCATCAGTATAAGCCTCCATGCCAGGTCTGCCGACTCCGGCGTGTGGTCTGGTGCCGGATAATTTGATGCCCGGTTGAATATAGCACAAACTATCATAGTCACAGTGGAGCTCACCAGAATTCCAAACCCCTGCATGGAAAAAACTGCAGCTATGAACGCACCACGTGTCTTCCGGTTCGAGAACTCTGACATAATAGTCGCAGACAATGGGTAGTCTCCCCCGATCCCCACACCCAACGCGAACCTGAAAAACATAAGAGAGAGAAGGACAAAAGTCCTGGACGTGCTTAAAGATAATCCACACCCGATGGAGCTCAAGACCATCAGCATGAGTGCCAGACCATAGACGCGCCGCCGCCCTATTCGGTCCCCGAGGTAACCAAACACCAGTTGCCCAATAACGGTCCCGAGGAGGGCCATGCCAACCATGACAGAAGTCACCACCGCCGAGACTTCATAAAGCTGATCGCCTTCATATTTGTTGCTATCACCGTAATAGATGCGGCCGAGGAGTCTCATGATCGGAGGAATACAAAACAGGTCGTAAGCATCAGTGAACAACCCCATTCCCGCCACGATTATGGCCTTGAAATGATAGTATTGTGTTCTTGCCGAGTCGAGATCAGAGAGAACTTTGAGCGCCATTGTACAATTCCCACAATTTTTCCTTCC